CACAATAAATTACTAAACAAACTTATTAGATGCGCTTGACTAGTATTATCCAAATGCTAAAACCACACACGTATCTGGTTTGTGAGCATGGAAACACTTGGTAAAAAGGTGACTTAGCATTAGCATTAGAGCCTTAGTCTAACCTTGAGCCTCACCACCTGTGTTGGATTGTGCTCTGGTGTGCCGTTTCCCTCCTCCAATAAGTGATTGTGTGACTGTGCTCTGATCTTCGTCCTGCTCTTCTTACTCCCGGCCAGTTTGTCGTCACCCAGAAACTTTGCAAGATTGGTCCAAGATTTCCCTCGTTCTTGCTTCTGCTGTATCTGTTCCCTACGCGCTTAAAAACCATCCTGCTTGGAGACGAGTTTGGCATCATGATGTCCTCAGAGGCAGAGACTACCTCCTGGCTTTCTCCTCGACTTACATTAAGCAACCCAGACCCAGAGAGAGGTCCGAATCCAGGCTGGGTTTTGAAGTTCTAGTCTTATCAGCTTGCGGCCCACAAACGGATGCCTGTCCTGTGGTGAACAAGACTTTCTGGTGTTCCCTCATTACAATCTGACTGGACCCGGTCAGGAAGGCACAATGACCACAGGAGCCAGGGAAGAGGACGCCAAACATGTCCGGGGAGAGCCGCCAGGAGAGCGGTGCGTTCTTTCTTCCTGGTGGTGGGGTCTTTGGCGTGGATTAGCCAGCGCTTGGGGGGGTTCTTGTGGCTGAAGTTACACGTAGAGCAGATGAAAGGCCGTCGGGCCTGAAGCTCGAGGAACCGTAGGAGGTCGGCTGAGTCTGCCTGTGGTGTTGAAAAACTGGGGGAAAGAGGTGCAACTATTTCAGGGTCTGACATTTTCCCTGGAATCGAGGCCGGGCTTGCATCTTGCATCACAGCTGAGCTCATACGCTGTTCACCGTCTTACCCTGAAGAATCTCTCTCGCCTTCCCATTTTCATCAGTTCTTCTCAATCTCCCCCAAGATCTTCAGACGGGACTCCTGGTGCCTCCTATGATGATCGGACAGTGCGATCCGATTGGCCAGGTTCCAGCCGCACTCGGACACCGAAAACGTCCGTCCTTCCCAAACGCCTGCCCCACCCCCGCCCCACTCTCACAGTGCTCCACTATGTGCTCCTGCAGGTGGACTTGCTTTTTGAAGTAAATGCTAACATTCCACACAGGTGAAGATATCTTTACAGCCCTTTTCTTTTTTCGGTTCTTCCTCTGCTGCCTCCTCAAAATCAAAACACCCCCTCCAGCTTGACTCAGCTCGGGTGGGGTTTGATTCTCCAGGACTGTCAGTCTGAGGCAATGTGCGTTTTCAAAGTGCCAAGTCCAGAGAAGGCTTGAGCCAGCACCCCTCTTCTTTCTGCACCGCTGAATGAATGTTCACTGAGCCCAGGGGGCGGGGGGGGGGACTCTCGGGATCAGAGTCTCCTGGGAAGGTGTACACATCTCTCTTGGGCTCCTTGGTTTCCTTTCCCGTGGGCCTCTTCTCTGCCTCGCTATTATCCGCCTCCTCTTCCATTTGGCAACCTTCCTTTGGTTTTACTTTGGAGAGAAACAGCTCCTCGGATACATTCCACACTTCGCTGTCTGTGAAGAGAAAAACAGAGGGATTATGAATGGAAGGAGCCCTTAAGATACAAATAAAAAGATATCAAGTGTGCATGCATATTAGGTTTCTTCCATATGGCGCTCACAGTCTGTTTGGCTGGGATGGGATGTGTTTGGCTCGTCTGCCTTTGTGCTCTCGTTGTTGTCACCGTGCCCCCTCCACAGGGGGAGATGAGTCAGGCTTGGTATGCAAGTGCTGCACTTTTCCCAGGTTCTCGGTCATCTTCACTGTCAAGTCTGGACAGCAGTAGAAAGGAAACACATTGGTTGAGACGTCTGACAAGTGAACGAAGCATCTCTGCTTGAAACAAGTCACAATTACACACCACAGCTCTTATTGCTTATTCTCAATGTCCGTTTACTTGAAATTATGTAGGTTTTATTTGAAAACCAGGCACTTTCATGCTGAGTATTCGGATCATATGATGTTTGGTTTTATGAGGTGCTTCTAAATAGTAAGTGTGTTACCTACAATAGAAAACAGTCGGTACCCCTAGTTTGGAGAATCAGACACGAGTTACAGCATGGGAGCAATGTACCGCAAATAATCAATATCAGTTTAAGTGTACGCTATATTTAGAGTATTTTATCCGCTTTATCTTGCTGCCAGACAGCCAATCAAATGGAGAACTGAAACTGTACTGAATATATATGCAAAGACAACAGACTCCATTGAAAAAACAGTAATTTACCCTTGCACAACACAGGAGTTGTTTGTGTGTTCTTGTGTGACATAGCTGAATCCATACTAACCCTTTAACAGATAACACAAACAAATTAATTGAATGAGGTGGCGTTAGCCCAGCAACTCCTGTGTTACGCAAAGTAGTGTTTTTTTCGGTTCTGTATACCTAACAGAATAGTCATTAATTAGCTTAGCGTGGAAGTGGTACAGTGCCAAGACTCTTCCTGGTTTTAGGACTGCACTCATTACACTGACTATAAATAAGTATCTCATACAACCCCACAAAGTATGAACTATCACTTTAAATATTTCCCCCAACAATGTCAACACTGACAGCATGGAGAAGGCCTTGGAACAGTGTGTTAGGGCTTGAAGTTGGGGAATCAAAACGCTATATTTTAAAGGTCTGGATACAAGGATTTTGACTTCAGCAGTACAAATAGTAGTAGACATTTTGGAAGCAACACGTCATTCGTTCTTGCTTAGTAGAGGGTAAAAGGGGTTTAGCTTAGCTTCTAGTAAACACTGAGAGGCACCATGACCTCAAGGGACCTCAAGTGTTGCACGCTGAATGTAAACAATATCCTACTTTGAAATTGTGTTAGCTGTAACACTTTGTGTGTTATGCCCCTTCGTAGTGTCAGACAGTCTACAGATTTGTATCTTTCATGGTCAACTTGTATATATTTTAGATCCGTTTTATCTAGCACTTTTTACGCTGCTATGGACAATCTTGCACTAATGCACATTTCTCAAACTTATTGAAGTGACTGTTATTTTGTGTATATTGATTGATGTGCTTTTATTTATGTCTTAATGTGTGGACATGTATTACATTACATTACATATCATTTGTTAGACGCTTTTATCCAAAGCGACTTACATACATTCAGTACTGTGGACAATCCCCACAGGAGCAATTTGGGGTGAAGTGTCTTCAGGGACACAACGACATGCTGACTGCAGTGGGGTTTGAACCTGTGACCCCCTGATTCGAAGTCCAGCACTCTATCCACTGAGCCACAGCCGCCCCATGTATAAAGGTGTCTGTTGATTGTGTATATATAGGATATACTTCTTATACATATTTTTATATATATTAAATAAATAATAAGTTGATACTCTGATTTTCAAATGATGTGTAATGCCTTGTTTTAAAAATGTTGCCCAGTTTGGGGATCAATAAAGTATATCTTATCTTCTCAAACGACTCGCTGCCCTTCCTCCTCCTCCTCCTCTCCTCCTCCTCCCTCCTCCTCACCTGAGTCCAGCAGAAGGAGATCCCGGGCTGTGAGCAGCCAGACCGTGAGGGTTAGAGAAGTGCTGGAGCTCCTCCTCTGACACACAACACACACACAGGAACATCACTCACAGGTCAACAGGAGAACTGAATTGAGAGACTGCTGACTACATGCAGACTGAATCACATTCAAAACAATAAGAGACAACAAGTACAGGTACACCAGGCGTGGAAGAAGAACCCACATATTGTACTTATAGTAAAAGGAGCAATATATTGGTGTGTAAATATACTCTGTTGCAAGTAAAAGCCCTGAATACTAAATACAACAATAGGATATTTGCCTCCAAAAATGAAATTGAGTAAACCTGCAATGTGCGATATAAACCACTTGTTTGCAATTGTACGGTGCTATACTCACTTTTATGTAAAAAATAAATATTTAATAAGGTCGCAATACTTAATGATATGCTATTTATGTCACTTAGTTTTACTTAAATTGCTGCTACTCATTTTAAGCCATGGTTGTGAATTTATTTGTCTTTATTTGAATTGTATTCTAATGTGTGCTTTCCTTCTTTTACCTGCTTATGCCACTTTTGCTGTAACATTGTAAATGTCCCCGTTTTGCGACTAATAAAGGAATTCTGATTCTGAAAATGTAATTAAAGGTGGGGTATGTAATTTATTTCAGAAACACTTTTTGTTATATTCCATGGAATGCTCTTAACATCCCGATAGCAATGAATATATTAAATGCTTTGACAATAAATACATAAGAAATGTCATCTGTGGAAGCCGTGGCGCTTTTAAAAAGCACGACCAATCATCTGAGCCGGCCCGGCTAAAATAACTGGATGGCCTACCTGCCTGTCAGCCTTCCATCTGTGCACAAACTTATCTCGTGCCCTCATTGGTCATGTGCGCGTTCGTGTGTGTTGGAGGAGGGGCTCTGTATGGAAGTGGCAGATTTTCTCCGGTTGTGTATTTTCAAATTCTAGCGCACTCGAGCTGGTTTCTCCAAAATTACCTACCCCACCTTTAAGTAAAAATATAAAGTAGCATAAAGACTAAATACTCAAGTACCTCAAATGTGTATATAAGTACAGAACATGAGTAAATGTGCTTAGTTACATTACACTAAGGTACATTGTATATTAACTAGATTCAGTACTAAAGGTTTTTAATAGATATTGATCAATGTGTATATATATAGACTATTCTGCACTATTTCTATTATATTCTATTATATTGTATTTACTTGCACTATTATCTGTTTTATTGTGTTGCTCTGTTGGAGGAGCCTGTGAGCTCAGATGTTCATTGTCATAACTACACTGTAGCTATGCACACATGACAATAAAAGCCTTGAAACTTGATGTGTTACCATCGAGGGTTTCTCTCTCAGAGTCGGAGTCCCAGCTGAGGGAGGAGGGGAAGGCTGAGGGTCTCCTCTGGGAGATCCTCCCCGCCTCCGGGCCCTCATCTCCAGCCTGGGCCCTCGAGCATTTGGCCGACATCAGGTCGTCTCTCACATGTGGAGAACATGAGGACTAGATATAAAAGCATACAAGTGGTATTATAGATATATACAGGAGAGGTTTCATTGGCAAGTGAATCATATCTATAAATGTCACGTCAATGCAATCTCCTGAAGTAAAAAGCTAATGTTGGCCTATAAAGGAACTACAGCATGGTCACATGACTTCACGTCACCACCGCTAAGCTAAAGGTGGCTAATGTTGGGCTATAAAGGAACTACAGCACGGTCACATGACTTCACGTCCCCACCGCTAAGCTAAAGGTGGCTAATGTTGGGCTATAAAAGGAACTACAGCACGGTCACATGACTTCACGTCACCACCACTAAGCTAAAGGCGGCTGATGTTAGGCTATAAAGGAACTACAGCACGGTCACATGACTTTACGTCACCACCGCTAAGCTAAAGGCGGCTAATGTTGGGCTATAAAGGAACTACAGCACGGTCACATGACTTCACGTCACCACCGCTAAGCTTAAAGGTGGCTAATGTGGGCTATAAAGGAACTACAGCACAGTCACATGACTTCACGTCACCACCGCTAAGCTAAAGGCGGCTAATGTTGGGCTATAAAGGAACTACAGCACGGTCCACATGACTTCACGTCACCACCGCCTAAGCTAAAGGTGGCTAATGTTGGGCTATAAAGGAACTACAGCACGGTCACATGACTTCACGTCACCACCGCTAAGCTAAAGGTGGCTAATGTTGGGCTATAAAGGAACTACAGCACGGTCACATGACTTCACGTCACCACCGCTAAGCTAAAGGAGGCTAATGTTGGGTTGTGTGATGACGTTAGTCGTCTCATTTAGACACTTAGAAGCTTCAGAAATTCACCAGTGGGGTATTTACTGACATAGTTTAATGTCATGGCCCCAAACTCTTCATCTTTTGTTAACCACATACATACCAGGCTTCTAACCAAAAACACATCCAGCAAAAACAATGACTTTGAGGTTAGGGAACCAGGAAGTGCTAAAATGCTAACTCCTTTCAGGGTTTAAGATTTATTCCTGCACCACTCTTTAATACTTGTTGAACAGCAAGAGGAGTGAGTGGTGAGATGCAGATTTGTATATTTTGTATCTGTATGTTTGTGCCATGTTGTAAAGATATATAGTTGAAAAAGTGGAAAAAAGTTGGTCACAACGCATTGTCAGACGATGTTAATGACAGCCATGATGATGAGTTTTATGTTTGTATACCTGTAAGGTGCAGTTGAGGGAGGTGGGGGGGTTTTGTGCTGAGTTGGAGGCTGGGGGCCCATAGCTGGTCCCTGGGGTCTCTGGCTCCATGGTCCCCCCAGAGAACAGTATGGAGTCCCACTGGAGACCAGAACTCCTACATTGTGCAGCCTCCTCTTCTTCTAGAAACATGAGCAAAGAAAATTAAACGTTCTCACAGATTTAGAGTTTCACATCTCGCCAATACTTAAAGGTGGAGTAGGTAAGTTTGAGAAACCGGCTCGAGATCGCTAGAATTTGAAAATACACAACCGGAGAAAATCTGCCACTTCCTTATAGAGCCCCTCCTCCAACACACACGAACGCGCACATGACCAATGAGGGCACGAGATAAGTCTGTGCACAGATGGAAGGCTGACAGGCAGGTAGGCCATCCAGTTATTTTAGCCGGGCCGGCTCAGATGATTGGTCGTGCTTTTTACAGTATTACGGCTTCCACAGATGACATTTTTTTATGGATTTTTTTGTCAAAGCACTTCAGATATTCATTGCTATCGGGATGTTAAGAGCATTCCATGGAATATAACAAAAAGTGTATCTCGAGCCGGTTTCTCAAACTTACCTACCCCACCTTTAAGTGTAACATGACTTTGTCTCGAGTCAGACCTGAGACAAACATTAGATGACTTGCAACTCGAATTGGACTTGAGATATTTGACTTGAAAATGACTTGATAACTTCCTACAATCCCAAGAATAAAAGTATGTCAATCAACATGTGTGACACTTTCTTAATCAACCAACTTAATTGATCCAAGTCGAGGCAGTAGAGAACAATCGTTATGTTACTTAGTGCCTGTGTCTCACATGACTTGGACTATAGTCGGACCTGTAGGAAATGTAATGACTTCAGAAAGACTTTCCACTTGAGTTGTAGTTTAACGTTAAGACACGTGACTCCCTTTGGACTTTAGCCTTGCGATTGTATTTACATCTTTATCTCCAAATGCTCGCAGGAAGTCGACGCTTAATTGATCCAAGTTGATAAAAAAACAACCACCATGAAGAACTGATATTATGTTACTGAGTGCCAGCTGGAAAAAATATATATAGTTCAACATGACTTTAGAAAGACAACTCAACTTGGGCTTCAACAGAAATATCTCTCTGTATGTTATTTAAAAAGTGTCACACTTAATCAATTGAAGTCCATACACTCTTTTTGAACAGGGACTGATCAACATCTAGCAGAGAACCATGAAGAACTAACATGCTGAATATGAAAGCAAGCGGAAAAAGATATACCAAAATAATTGTGTTCCTGTACAAAAACAAAACAATGTAGTGGTCACCAGACCAGACACACTTTGTGACTTGTTTGGGACTTGAAACTCAATGTTTTTGGACTTATGACTCGCAGAACAATGACTTTATCCCACCTCAGCTACTTAGTGTATGTTTTAATAACACCCAGCCAATTTTCAGGAGGAATCAGGGAACATATCAGACTATAATAAAGAGTGAGGGGTCTGTAGTGTTTTGGCTGTCCTCAGTATGTTTGACCAGGTGCAGGTTTCTGACCTATTTCCACCTCATGTCTGCTCCTAAAGACAGAACCAGGTCGGACTAATGGTTACATAAATAAGTGGCCTTTCCTCTCAGGCCCATGTCCTCTCCTGCTGCCCCTCTGACAGCCAGGGAAATACCCGGGAACAGGAAGCTGTCCCACGGGTTTGGCCTCTGGATCCTCAGAGGACTAATCGATCCATGCTGTCAGGTGACTAAAACAACAATGCACACAACGCCTTCTTAAACCCCCAGACCGCCCATGAGCTGCAGATTTTTTAATGCAAATACTCACTGCAATCGGCCAGGTTTTGCGGCTCGCAGAGGGAGGCGGCTCTAAGCACCGCGCGGCATAGTTTCAGGCCGGGAGCTGGAGCTTGTATACAGCCGGGGACGATGCTCTCCGCCCGGCTCTGAATGCAGGAACTTGCCCCCTGTGGTCGGAGCTCAGGGTTTCGCAGGGATCCCTGGAAGATGCCAGGCGGAGGACTCCATGTTATTTGGCTGCGGGCACGCTGCGTACGTAACGTGGTGACGAGAAGAAGAAGAAGAAAAAGAAGAAGAAGAAGAAGAAGAAGAAGAGAGGAAACACCGGAGACAAGTGTAATAAGTTTTACTTCATAGCTTTTATTCCTATTATCGTACGGTGACGCAGTTTGCATGGTGGCTTTCTGATTTTAAACGCATTTTTACATAGTAGTGACACTTTTATTCTGCAGGAAATACACACTTCATACTCTTCACATGTCACACTGGGGAGGTTTAATGATGGAAGATGTTATTTTATAGACACAGGTGAAGTATAAATGGCTAATTGTGGTGATTAGTTTAACTGTATAGTAGTTAATTGGTCCTTATTTATATCACTGTAGTTTATAACATGTGTATAATCATGTTAGATGTATCTCTAATTATGTTTAAAGGACAGCTGGATTAAGTTTGTCATTAGTTTGTGTATAAATGTTCCTAAATGTTGGAAATCAATAAAAGCCGTACTGCTGGTTATAACACAGTCATATGGCGCCCTCTACTGGCCTCGGGTGGAACTGCATGTTTTTTATGAATACTAATTTATACTAATAATACCAATCAGTACCTTATGGCGCTCTTGAATATCTTATACATTTATTAACTGTACAAGCATTTTCTTCACAATATTACACTTTTGAAATCATTTTTACAGTTTCTTTTAACACTAAATGTACTATTTTAATCCATCAGTTTGTTAAACAATAAATAAAAGCTTAAGAAACATGTTACTATGTAGGTACAAATGTCTTTTAATATTCTCATTTAAGAAAACATTGTGTTATTAAACTACAAAGGCACTTCGGTACAAGTAAAAGTCCCTAATTCAAAACTGTACTCCTAAAAAGTACATAAGTATCATCAGAAAAGTGTATTTAAATCCTAATCTGCAATCAAACTAGTAACAAAAGCTGTCGAGGTATAATATTTCCCTCTGAACTGAAGAGCAGTTGAAAAATGAAGTAGCAGAAAATAAGTACAACACACGTTTTTATTTTGTTGAGTTTTATTTCATTAAGACTCTTCCTCTTTCCACGCAGATCGTTTTCATTTCTTGACCTCCTGAAATGAAGAAAAATATAAAATATGAGATGAATGAGCGACACAGTGACATTTGTTCATGTGTTTCTTTGTTTTTCTATGATTGTACACAGCAATCATAAGTCACGCCCTGTCTGTCCTGTCATGGAGGATTTAGAGACATGAGGGATGCCACCAGGTCTTGCATCAGAGCATCGTGGGTAATTAAGAGCCACTACTTTTGTTGTGGATACAGATTTGTTTCCTAACAGAGATCAGCTGATAGCTCACCTATTGTGTTATATCATCATACTATAGGTCATCACACATTTTACAAAATGCATGAATACATCACTTATTATAATCCAATACTTTAATAAATATTATTCTGACATGCATAATCAGTTATTTATCTTTTGGTCATTTAAGTTTTTTCCACTTTTTCATGTCTCTTCTACATCAACATGTGTCCCCTCTTCCTCATGTCTCTTCTTCATCAACATGTGTCCCCTCTTCTTCATGTCTCTTCTACATCAACATGTGTCCCCTCTTCTTCATGTCTCTTCTACATCAACATGTGTCCCCTCTTCTTCATGTCTCTTCTACATCAACATGTGTCCCCTCTTCTACATGTCTCTTATACATCAGCATGTGTCCCCTCTTCTTCATGTCTCTTCTACATCAACATGTGTCCCCTCTTCTTCATGTCTCTTCTTCATCAACATGTGTCCCCTCTGTGTAAAGATTCTCTCTCTTTTTGTCCTGATCCATTTCTATAAAAACCTGTCTGAAAATGAGCTGTTCAGATTTTGGCCACTTTATGATGTCATAACGATGTTTTGGCTTGTGTAACCATTAGCCAATCACCAACCAAGGTAACCCCCCCCCACCTTATCACCTGAATCTCCTCCGAGAGCACCATTGTGTTATTTTTAACCAAATATCTCATCTAAAGCAGGGGTGTCAAACTCAAGGCCCGGGGGCCAAATCCGGCCCGTGACTTCATTTTCTGTGGCCCCACAAGAGCTTGCAAATAATATAATATGATTATTATACGGTTACATGCTACTTTACAGAAGCACGTTGCCCATAAACTACATGTCCCACAATGCATCTCAAATTTGACTTTTTCTCAGAATTTGACTTTTTTTCTTCAACATATGCCTTTTTTCTTAGAATTAGCCTTTTTCTCAAAAATTACTTTTTTTCTAAATGTCACTTCTTTTTTTTTTCTCCAGAATTTGGCTTTTCTTTTAAAATCGTATTGTGACATTCTCACTGAAGAGACTTGCAATTATTTGCCCTAGACTTCTGCTTTCAGACGTAGTTAATTATGGGGTTATTACCGTATCCCATAATAATCCAATGCAGAGGCAATAATGTAATATAATACATTATTTTATATATATTAAATATTTATACATGTATTTTTATATAGTCTTAAAGTTACAACCGGCCCTTTGAGTGCAACCATAATGCTGATGTGGCCCGTGATGAAATTGAGTTTGACACCCCTGCTCTAAAGTAACAGACAGAGAATCAGCACTTTTGAAACAGGGCTGAAACAGAGGGGATTATGGGATGCTGCAATGATCTGTTTGGTATTTCAGACAATCAGAGACATGTTTTGTGTATATCTGAGACCTATAATATATTGAGGAAAAAGAGTATAATAGGGGACCTTTAAGTAAGATTTGCATGACTTTTATATACCATCTGAGTACTTCCTCCCCCTTCTACTCACCCCAAAGTGCTCCCAGCCTGTGATCTCGTTGTAGAAAGTGTCTCCGGGACAGGAAGTGTTCACCACCTGCCTGTGGCCCTGCAGGGTGAAGTTGGCCTCCAGTCGTCCTCCACCCACAGCGCAGGACGCCAGCTGATCCCTCACCAGCCCCATTGCATGCTGGGAGGGCAGCCTGCTGGTGTAATCTCCGATGAAGGAGACCCCGAATCCGACAGAGTTGTGACCCAGAGTGTGGGCCCCTCGCTGCAGCCAGCCTCGGCCCTCGTAGATGTTCCCGTCAGAGCCAGCCACAAAACTTTAGAAAAAGATTCAAGATTGAAAGGTTTTATTGTCATATGCACAAAGCTACAGCGTAGAAATGGCAATGAAATTCTTCTGACCTGAGCTCCTCCAACAATGCAACATATATAATAAAATACTAAAATACAAAATAAAAAGTAGTGCAAAAAGTCTATATACATGTCAATAGAATATGACATTTCAATAATGTAAATCAAGACAAAATTCATACGGTTTATTGCGGATAGTTATAAATTAGGTGCTTAATTCCAAATATGCAAAAGTAGCACTTCACTATTGTAAAAATACCCTGTTATAAGTAAGGGATTTATTTCGAAATCTTCAACATTTTGGGATTTGTCTGCGTCTAAAATCAAAACATTGGAGGTGAATCTCTTCTGTGGTTCCCTTAAAGGGGCCCTATGGTGCTTTGTGGGGTTTTCTCTTTCCTGTAGTGTTGTATAGGTTTTAGTGCATGTAAATGGTCTGCAAAGGCAAAAATCGGGTCGAGCGGTCTCGTGTGAACGGACACGTTAATTTAGCCGAATGTGTGTGAACGGAAGACTTTTTTGATATCGAATTCGGTTCGTTTGCGTTCCCGTGTAAATGGGGTCTGAAACGTCTCCATTTGACTCCTTTGTTTACTTTGGGAACACAGTGACATCACTATGTAACAATCGTGCTTCTATTGGCTAGCGTTCCAACACATTGTGCGTGATAGGCTAAGGGGCGGGACATCTCTAAGCAGTTGATCAATCACAACAGAGGCGGCCAGCTAACCAATCAGAGCAGACTGGACTTAAATACTGCATTTAAATGTTAATTGACATATTTATCGGTACTTGTGGGTTATCTGTCGCCACTTTAAATTGTCCAACTTTTTCCACAAATACAGGTGTGTTATCATGTCGCCATTTTCACAAAAATGTACTATTTGTTCCCAATTCCCTAACCCTAACCCGTATTTAGAGAGATAACCCAAAAGTACCTATTTATCATTTGTTTTAGTTGATAGGTGTTTCAAAATATACATGTAAAGCACCTCCAAATTAAACTTAACAACCATACTTGAGTAAAGGTACTTCCTAACACTCCACCACATAACATTTAACCTGAGACCCCTCCCTCCCTGTACCTGTATCCGATGTCGTCCCAGCCCCGGTCGTCCTGGTGGAAGCGCTGCATGGACCTCATGTCCGCTGAGCACTGCTGGAAGGTGAGGCAGGGGTCACTGGGAGTGGCGGTGTGGTGGATGTAGAGGAAGGGGAGAGGCAGGGTGAGGTTGGTGGGAGTCCCTTTGTAAGGCTTTGCACCCCACATGCAGCGAGGGATGATGGGCGGGCACTCTGAAACACATGAAGTACAGCTGGTTAGTGTAAGTCAATGGAATTAAAGGTCCCCTATTATACTGTTTTTCTTCAATATATTACAGGTCTCAGATATATACAGAGCCTGTCTCTGATTGGCTGAAACACCAAACAGATCATTGCAGCATCCCATAATCCCCTCTGTTTCAGCCCTGTTTCAAAAGTGCTGATTCTCTGTCTGTTACTTTAGATGAAAATAAGGAGCCCCTCCCCACGCCCCTCAGAGAGAGATTTGGTTAAAAAGAACTCAATGGTGCTCTAGGAGGAGATTCAGGTGATAAGGTGGGGGGGGGGGGGGGCTACCTTGGTTGCTGATTGGCTAATGGTCACACAAGCCAAAACATCGTTATGACATCATAAAGTGGCCAACATCTGATCAGCTCATTTTCAGTTTTTATATAAATGGATCAGGACAAAAAGAGAGAGAATCTTTTTTGAAAATTTGCTTTAATTTCCGTGGCTCTTTCTGGGGGCTTGGAGGATGGCTCCACATTTGGTGGTATTGTTCGTTTAACAGCAAAAACAAACCGCCTTCCCCGTCTTTAAGTAATCATATACCAATCAGCCTTTATTATTCTCACTTCTCAAGACCTCAAACAAGTTATTTTCATCCCACACTCACCCAAGTACTCCTGGACGAACTCCTTCACTCCCTCCTTCACCAGAGTCATCAGCTGCTTCTTTGTCTTTGAATCCATCTTTTTGAGGGCCATCACTCTCCGCTGCTTCTCCACAGATTTCACCACCTGTCGGGCCGTTATCGACGGGACCCCCAGCTCTCTGAAATTTTCCCTGCGTCGTCGGCTAATGAGTCGGGGGGCGACGTCCACCCCTCCGACCTCCAGATTGTGGCAGTAATACTCCGTCAGAATGCCACTGAGCTTCAGAGGTCGTCCGGATGTTGAAGGGAACGCAATCTTCAGCAGCAACAGAAAAATGTGAACGTTCTTTTAGACTAGAAAACATCCTTCATTCAAATGTATAAAAACATTAAAGAACTCCTATCATGCTATTTTTAGGCATATATTATGGGTCTCAGATATAAAAAGATATATTAAAAAACATGTCTATGATGTGTTTTGCTCAAAATACCAAACAGATCATGCATTTTAGACATCCCTCATATCCCTCTGTTTCAGTCCTGTTAGAGAAACGCTGATTCTGGGTCCTTAGCTTTAAAACAACAAAAACAAAAAAAGAGGCTAATGCCTGATCAGAATTCTACCGGCAGATACCAAGCTAAATTC